AAATTATTATATTTATCCATGGGTCCGGATTTTTCCAGCACATTTGAAGGATTCTTGATTAGATTGGCATCGTTAAAGTTCTTCAGCAGTTTTTGCAGCGTTGGATTACGAATTTTCCTCTCCCGTCCAACAGGGTGTTTGGAACAATATTGCAATGTCAAAGAAACCTCTGCATCTGTATTTCCCAGCAGAATATTATTGTATTTAAAAACTGTCGATCTATCACTTCAACCTATTAGTGTTTTTAATGTTTTGGCTAATAGCTGTTGTGTTAATTTTCAGACATACACTGACTTTGGTAACCACGATTTAATGAAATCGATCAAACTTTATTTGTGGTTCAATTCAAAGTGCGTCACCGATGATGGACCAGCTGATAATTTAATAATATTTGTTTTGTAAAAGAGGAAGCTACAGAGAAATTAAATACAATTATAAAGAAATAAAAACAACATTTAAAAGGGTGTATAAGCACAATCGGAAGATTTAGGAAAAAATGAAATGCAATAAGAAAAATGAATTTAGAAAAAAATAAACAAATAAAATTTAACATAAATATAAAATTAGATAGATATTTAAAAATTTTAAAAAACTTATGAACAATTTGAAAATAATTAAGGAACAAATATAAAATGATATATTATATTACATTAGAATTACTCCCTCCATTACATCCAACTAATATCAGTTAAAGATAATTGATATTAATTATTAATTGTCTCTCTTAATATGTCTGTATTTTCTAACTCTTAATCTGATCTTTGGTCACACAAAACCTGTTTAAAACCACGTTTGTACCTGTGAAAACAGATGTGTGTCAGCCTGAGGTTGTGGGTTGTGTTCTCAGTTCCCAAAAAGCTTAAATTTATAACAAAGAGCAGCTGAAATAACAGCAACAATAACTTCTGTGTTAGTGTGAACGCTCTCTGAGCTTCATCGTCAGCATCATCATCTCCATCAGAGCCAATTCGGGCATCAGTAACTTAATGAGTTCAGACATGTGGAAGTATTTTGGAAGTGGAAGAGCCAGTCTGTGTGTGTTTGTGTGTGTGTGCGAGCGTGTGTGGGTCAGCATGTTACAGTGTCCAAACCTGCTGCCTGTCAGCACGCCATGGCATTTGTCATGTGTTTGTCCCACATCCTCTTTGTTGTGGTTTAATAAGTTGATCTTGCCTTTGTAGACGTCCCGGGCACCATGGTTCACTGACATCGACACAGACTGAATATTTTCCTGGATCCAGCCGCCTGCCATGCCGCCACCCGATGGCTGCTCCATCAACTCAGCCGCTTCCGATGAGAGTGAGGACACCGAACCTCTCATCGAGAGTGATGAAAGTGAGGAAAACATTTTTTACATGTTAATCTTTACCAGAAATACTGAATCTGCTTTGAAAAAATAAGCTGAACACCCAGCACGTTGAGCTTTTGGTATCACTGAAGTGTTTGGATCTAATTTTGAACATGACTACAAAAGTGAAGCTGTTACTTTTGTTGTTTTGTAGCGATGGTTTTCAGTTCTTCAGCACACACATCAGCATTAAAGATCACCTGTCATATAAGACCTCAATGAGGCAGCAGACATGGAATCACATGCCGCTGTAAAGATATAAACGATCTTGGCGATGCTTAGAGGCCAGGTTTTTTGGCTTGTTACGGGAAAAATCTGCAATGATTAAAGAGAAATGTTTGTTATAAGGTCAAGAAAATTATTTATCTATTCAGCTTATTTACAAAGCCTTCAAAGTTTACTCAAAATGCTCTTTGTGGATTTTTTTGTTATGTTTTTTTCTCCAGTGAATGATCAAAAAACAGAAACTCCAGGGTACTAGTACTGATGATTGGAAGCAATATCATGCTTTCACATTGTGGTGTGAGTATGGAAGCAGCTCTTCTAGGGCGGTATCTGAAAGTAGTGCCTGTATTTGAAGCGGCTCAAACGTGCGTGGGAAAATTACCTAAAAGAGG